TGATTAAATAAAAGAATTCTGATCATTCTCCCTGTGCCTGGGGTAGGTGCAGTCGGGAATGGGGCAAAACAATGCCCTAAGCTCTGCAGAGCATGTTTTGGATCGTGTCTGTGTAGTGGGGTTTTTGGCAGAGCAGGGATCAGTGCCTCACCAACTTGTCACCCATCTGGACGAGTGGGGTTTTTTTGTGTCCCATCTGCCTCTTGGTGAGTGCTGTTACGGTGTCACCTTGCAGAAAACTCTCCCAGCTGCTCCCAAAGCTTCAGGTCGTGCTTTTCCAGTACCTTTTTCTAAGGATGCTTCTCATTTCATGCTGGAATGATGCTCTGGTCCTGGATGTGCCTTTGTGTAGCGTGGCCAAGGGGTTATCCCCGTGCTGCAGGCAGGGGATCTGGGCTGTGTGGCACCATAAAAACAAAGTGTAGCAGTGACTGCTGAACAAGCTAGGTCATGTTCTGGAAGTCGTGTGGCCGGGATAGCAGCGCTGCCGGAACCTGAGCCGGCTCCTTTCCAGCAGGCACTGCCATGTGCTCCTCCATAATCCTCTGTGGGATGTGTCCTGCAGGACATCCGTCACTGTTCCGGGATCAGAGCGCTTGCTGCTCCAGACTTTTGAGTCCTCTCTCCCTCGAAAGAAAACATTTTAAAAAGCCCTCACATGTGTTGAATAAATCCTCTGCAGTTCTGCAATTTCCCTGCAGTTTTTCAGGGGGACCAAAACACTCTCCTAAAAGTGGATCTTTTTTGTTGGGGAAGGTGGTGTTTATCCACAGGTGTGTTGGGTTTCCAACAGGTGTCGAGGCAGCACACCTTCCCAATTTGCTTTCTTCCTAGTCTCTGTTTGACTTTTTCTTTTAACTTTACCAGCTGATCTCTAATGCCAGAAGATCCTGCTTATCTGGTGGGAAAACCTGCAATAGAAATAAAGGAGATTTTTGAGATATTATGTGGTAAAATGCACAGAGCTGCCGTGCCTGAGCTCTTGTGCCTCTGTTGCTCCCGTGGAGCAGTGAGCAGGCAGGAGGAGAGCCCTGAAGTGTTCCACCAGCTGAATCCAGCCTTGTCCCCACTTTGTTCCTTCTCCTTCTGTATCATTCCTCTGCTTTCCTCAGTACCAGAGGGCCTTTATGTGCCTTTATGTGTCCCACTGGCTTATGAGAGGCAGATGGATGGGGAAGCCCTCTGATGAAGTTCTGATGAATTCTAGCTGTTACTGAGATGCAACATACCTTTTCTTAATTTTTCCTTTGCTTTACCAGCTGAAGATCCTGTGTGTGTGTGTCTGCCTGATTCAACCTGCCTGGTGAGCTGGGAGGTGGCACAGGTGGGAAGATCCAGAGGTGTGTTCCCATGCAGTGTCTTTTTCCTGCAAAGGGGAACACTAAAGACCTCAGGAAAAAACCCCAATAGTTTTCATCCTCCCCTGGATGGAATGAAGTGTGCTCCTTTTAAGGAGTTAAAAGGGAGTTTGGGTAGAAATGCTGCTGGGGAAAGGGAATTCAATTCTTGACTTGGTCTGCTCAGGTGGAGCGAAGATCTCCTACATGCATCCTGTTAATGCTTTTAACAAAGGAAAGTACCTGAATTTTGTGACTTACTTTCAGTCCCTGCTGTATTTTGAGGGCTTTTCAACCCTCAAATTAAGGTTACAGATAATGCAGTTTGAATTGAGGCTCTCTAAATCTACACTTCAAAGTCCATGAGGGGATGCCAGAGATGTGTGCTGCATTTCTGAGATGACGACATAAGCGTAGTATTGTTTGTAACGTGGAGGGAAAACGCTTGGTGCAAGTCTTTGATGTTGGATGCTTATTCTCAAAATACCTTTCCCTTAGCTGGCTTTGCCATCATTAAGGAAAAATCAGTTGTTACTGAGGCTGGAAGCGGGTGGAATTGCCCCTTTGAGCAGCATGCTTTGGCTAAATCAGTTCAAAATGACATGGCTACTCTTGGGATTCATCTCATTGTTCCTTCCTCAGTTTTTTGGTGGGCTGTGGGAGGGGTAGGGCTTGCTGCAGGACAGATCTCTCCAGCTTTTGAACAGAGGAGATGGGTGGGAGATGCCAGGCCAAGATTAGCAGGACTTCAGTGAGGGAATTAATGCATTTTGGGACCATTCAGCATCATCTCTCCTTCTGCAGGCTGCAGACTTGTCACTGTTCTGGTGCTGGTTTGCTTTCCCCTCTCTGTAGAGTTTGGGTGGTGGTGGATGCAGAGTTACTATCACTAGTCTCTGTCTAGGTACAGCAGAGCTTTGAGATTCTCTCTGCTAGGATTAATAAAGCCTGTCAATTAGCAATCTTCATTAAGGGCTGGTTTGTTGTGAGGCGCTTTTACTCAGTGGATTGCAGACCCTTGGTAAGAGTTAGTATGGTGTTATCTGGGAAGATTGACTGGTGCTACTGACTATTACCTATATATATATGTACACACTCATATTTCCATATTTAATACAGAATTTCACAGTTGAAGTGGGTCCAGTGCTTGGATAAAAGCAGAGTCCCAGCTCAGGTGGTGAAGGTGACGGAAATTCAGAGGGAAGATAAACCTACACGAGCTTTACTTTTTGCTTTTTTAAGCAAGTTTTAATATCAACGATACAGCAAATTAGATTTTTGGAAGATTGTACACTCGGCCTGCAAGAATCAGGGACTTCAAAAACTGATGTTCATGCTGCTGGTGTATGTGTGTGATGATGGATCCTTGGTGCTGTCATGATTCCCGTGGCATCACAGGCCAGGAATTGTGGTAGCTTCATGGGGAAAGTCTCAGCCAGCCTAAGGGCACACGAGGCTTCCAGCCATCTCCTGCCCTGAAACAGCCTCTGCTTTAGGGGCTGGTGAGCCCATCTGAAGGGGTGAGTGTGGAGTGTTGCTTTGGGAAGTGAGACCCAAGGGTGGGGCTCTGGACATCCACCACACCACGTGGATCTGCACACGGTATTGAAAGGGTGAGGGGAGAACCAGCCTGGGAGATCAAAAGCAAGTGGCAGGACTGGCTGAGTGTTTAGAGCAGGAGGGTGTCCTACACCAAGCTGGGGAGTAGGTTGTAAATAGCTGCCACCAAAGCTTTGCCCACACTTTACTCAGGCACTCAGCCATTGTCATGCAAACTCCTGGCCAGCTCTGCTCCTGGCTGGATGGTGTGGGGCCGGATTTGCTCAGTTTAGTCCCAGCCTTATTAGCATAAAACGGTGTTTTTGCAAAGTGAAATGTGGTCTGTGCCTGGGAGAAGCAGCTCCATGAGGGGAGTAGCTTCATGTGAATCTTCCTGGCTCTTCATTTATCAGCAGACACCAGTTGGAAAGACACCATTAGAAAAGTGAGCTCCGGGAGTGTGTTCCTCTGCTTGCTGAGCGTGTGCTGGGGGTCAGGCTTACTTAGGGTTTGTAACTTGCAATTAAGATGCAGTTGATGAGCTTTCCCCTTTACTTGGAGCAAGGAGTCCTCCTCTGCTTCCTGTCTGTGACCTGCTAGGTGATTTAGGGACCTCTTGAGAGGTTAAACTTGAAGAGTAACTTCAAAAGTAAATCAAGTCGTCTTCCTTGTTGTCCTACCCTCTCCAAGTGAAAGGAGGGACTAATAGAGTTTGTATTGGATACTGGGAAGACATTTTTTCCTGTTGAGGGTGGGGAGGCCCTGGCACAGCTTGCCCAGAGAAGCTGTGGTTGCCCCATCCCTGGAAGTGGCCAAGGTCAGGCTGGACAGGGCTTGGAGCACCTTGGGATGGCAGGAGGTGTCCCTGCCCATGGCAAGGGTGGAATGAAATGATCTTTAAGGTCCTTTTCAAAACAAATATTTCCAAATATTTTCTGTGTTGTGTCATGGAGGGGAAAATCTGCACCTCTGTCTTAGTGATTCCTGTTTCCGTATTTGATGTGAGATGTTAGTTAATGATCTTTGGGTTATTTGATTAATGACAGATTTAGACTGTGAAGAGCTGTCCTGACTTGGTAGATGGGAATGGGCTCAGTTGGCTGCTGTGCCATTATTCTGGGGGAACGTCATTCCCTCTCATTTATCCATGTGCTTGCCTTAGCAGTGAGTGTGTCTTAACTGCACTGAACTGCAAAGGCCTTGCTTTGGAGAGATCCTGAAGCAGAAGAGCGTGGTTTCACTGTTTTCTGTACTTCAAGCATCTTAACAGGATGCCTGTGCTTTTGATAAACAGCAGATAACATCTCAAGGATGGCATTAACTATCAATGGACAGAAAACAGCGCTGGAATTTGCTTGCAGTAAAGAGTACTGGGGGGACTAGTTCAATCCAACAGAGCCAGGAATTCATGGCTCCTTTTGGAGTGGGACAGTGGCAGAATGACCTGTCAGATTTGAGGTGAAATCAAGTTGCAGAAAAGCAACGTGAGGTTAGGCAGGAACATGAAGGAAAATACAGGGGAGTAAGTGAGGGAGCTGCTGGTCTGTGCTCCCTGGCAGGCTGGCAGGAATCCAACTTCTGACTGGGGCCAAGGTGCTGGCAGGACCACAGGTATGGCATGTGGTATCCAGAATACTCCTGGTGTAGAGCAGACCTATGTTTTTCCCTAAAGTTACACATGAAATGTGTTTAATACATTAAATACAGAACACTTTGGGGCTTTGTAAGTGACTTCAAACTCTGATTATGCATCCTGCTTTTTTCCCATGTTTTAAAGCACCTCTCACAGCTGTCATCCTACCTGGACTGTCCAAGAGGGGTTATTTTTCTGCCATCTATATAAATGGTGTGTAGGTAACACATTGTGCTGTGTTCAAACACCACGTTCATGAGCTTGGCATCACTCAGGCTCTGTGATGCTTCAGTTAGCAGCATCCTTTCGGTGAGACTGAAGAAATCATTGACTTTCAAGTTACTACAACAATAAGGCTGTACTTTTTGTGGCGAGATACTGTTGCATGTTTTATGCTGAAAGCTAAGTCTTGAACTCCATTTCCCATCTCGGGATACCAGATAGAAGCTTACTCAAGCTGCTGGTGGCAATCTCTGCATCACCCGTGCTGGGGATGGGGGTGCTGGATCGATTCCCCACTCTCACCATTCTGCTTTTCCCAGGTTTTGTGGTGCTTCCCGAGCATGAGTTCAGCATGAAGCGGCGATTGGATGAGCAGGAGTCACCCGTGTACGCGTCGCAGCAGAGGCGTCTCACCAGCAGCACCGAGGCTTTCCCGCACCAGCACCGCGTGCTCGCCCCGGCCCCGCCGGTCTATGAGGCCGTGTCCGAGACCATGCAGTCAGCCACGGGCATCCAGTACTCCGTAACTCCCAGCTACCAGGTGTGTGTGTGTGCTCAGCCTTCGGCTCCCTGGCCAGCCAGCACCGTGCTGTGGCACTGTAGAGTTCTGCGTTTGACACGAGGTTTTGTTTTGGTAGCCAAGGTTTCCTTTAAGAAATGGATGTGCGTCTCTTTGTCAGTGCTTGCTTTATTGGCTTCGTTCATGACCCAGCATTGGCTTTCTTGAACACGATTCTTCTAATGATTCTCTCAGATCATGGTCTCTGAATCGCAGAGTCAGGTTTGTGGAGGGTTTTTCCTCCATTTTTCTGTTTTTCAGCAGAAAACGTCGTTTTCTTCGTTGTAAAAGATGTATGGTATCTTGGGTGATCTTAAGCTTAACAGACTAGATCAGCATTTAGATTGAAGACTTTCAGGAAAATTGAAATGTTTCAGAGAACATTACCCCAGAGTCATTAGGTGGCACTCTTCCCTCTCTTGCCTCCTTTACAAGGAGCTGGCAGTTGGGAACAGGGAGAAAAAATATCTTTTTTAGAGTACACTGGAGATAGCTGTCAGTGAAAGAGCAGGGAAAGGCTATTTGTGGGATATTTGTCTTTGCCGTATTTCTGGCATGTGTAATCTTCCACACTTGTGTTGCTGATGAGCTGCTCTCCCTGTCTGGTGCCACAACTTCATCCTTGCTTCTGCAGAAAGGATATTCACTCTGATAGTGGTAGCAACGGAGCTGGAGAGCTGCAGGCAGACCCTTGCAGGGGCTGGAAGAGAGTGTGTTGGTACTGGCAGTCTTTCCTAAAAAGAACTTAGATGGACCAGCAGGCAAACCTTATTCTGTTCATGAGGATTAAATTAAGTGTGTCCCATCTAAAAGAGGCTTGAATGGAAAACAGGATTTGTGAAAATGATTTTCCAAATTGAAACTTTCCTGGTTTACGGTATAAAGAAGTCCCGAAAGTGCATGCTTTTTTTTTTAATTTCCCTGGTTTTCTAGGGGAAATACCAAGCTGGGTTTTCCCCTGAGCCAGCTGATGCCAGAGAGCCACAATTTCACTTCCAGTACCCAGACTGAATTACCAAGAATGTAGCAGCCCATAAAGATTCATTCACTCAGATTATTACTTGTGACACGTAGGGAAAGGAGAAAACCTTGAGAGATGAAAAATATTTCATTTTACCATCCTTTTTCAGGTCTTTATATCAGGGGACATACTGGACAGCCAGTCTGGGGACAACCTGTGTTTGGAATGTGCTTGCAGGCAGGGCTTTGCTGTATTTGGAGGATGGGATGAGAGTTGTTGAGTAAAATTCTTAGCAGTCGTGCTTAAAGCTCCAGCCAGCTGTGTTCTGCTCCCTTGGTTGTATGCTGTGTCTGGGAAGCCAGGGAGGCTCGGTGGCCGTGCCTGACCGTGCTGTTTGCCTTGGCAGGTGTCGGCCGTGCCGCAGAGCTCGGGCAGCCACGGGCCGGCCATCGCCGCCGTGCACAGCGGCCACCACCACCCCGCGCCCGTGCAGCCCCACGGCAGCCAGGTGGTGCCGAGCCACACGCACCCCACGCCCCCAGCCGTGCCTGTGCAGGGCCAGCAGCAGTTCCAGAGGCTCAAGGTAATGCCAGCAGCTGCCTGATGTCAGCCATCCTTTCCCAAAATTCCTTCTGCGGCCATGTACCTTTTCCGATCCATTTTTACCTCCTTCCTCCTCTCCTTCCTCCTCTCCTTCCTCCTCTCCTTCCTCCTCTCCGGAATCTGTTGAATGCAGAAATGGACTTCTCTTTCTGCTGAAGCCCTGTTGTTTGACACACCATAATTAAAAGAAATTGGACTCACCAGGAAAAGATTTGTGGCAGGGAGGGAAAGGAAAAGTGTATTGCTTAGAGTATTTGGATGAATGGGTTAAATTACCAAAACATTTGGTGCTTTTCTGAACACATGGCATATGTGGGTGGTTGGGTGGGAGTAATTTGGGAGTAAGGAAGGCTCTATTCTCAGATTATGTACTGTAAAACCCTTAAACAAAGAAAAGTCCACCAAAAATAACCCCTTTAAGTTGCTACATTTGGAGAAGGCGCATACATACAAACTGATGCCTGTTTTAGCTTCTTCCAAATACGGTGTGAGTCTTTTCCAGTTTTGGTGGAAACCGCTGCCCTTTCCTTTTACTGAATGCAGAAAACTTCATTTCTACAAACCTCTGAAAACCAGTTTCAAAAAGAGTGTTTCTTCCTCACGGTGAAATCCATGGAAAATCCTTTGCTGGTGCAAGGTTGGGGCTGTACATGAGTCTTTCTTCCTTTGCTGTAGTTTAATTTCAGACTGAAGAGAGGTCCCATGGTTGGCTCTTGCAGCTGCTGAGTGCGTGGCTGGGCTGCTGGAGGCACAGGGACCCAGAGCTCTCTCTTTAGGCCGTGGCTGTTCTTCCAGTACCTCTGAAAATTGGTTGTTGGTACACGAATCATGAACCTCTTGCTGTTTGAGGTGTAAAACAATCTGCCGCCCACAGTTGCCATTTTCGAAGCCCTTCGATGTGGAACTGAAATGTCTGGCTTTTTGAGAGAAGTGCAAGCGTGTACCTGGCAGACATCTACTACACTGAATATGTCATTTCCACTTTCTGCTTATTCTTAGACTTCCATAATAATTTCCACAGATGAATGCAGGAAAAATACTTAGTGTAGTTCTGTTTGTCCTAGCAGTCACTTCAGTGATGGCAAATTTGGAGTGTGTTTGGTTTGGGGGTTTTTTTGGTTTTTTGGTTTTTTTTTTCTGAGTAATTCTGCTGATCTGTGTTGATTTTTTTTTTTTTCCCTTTTTATCTCTTTTTGGTACAGTTTTATCTTATGGGCCAGGAGTGGGGAGTGAGTACCTCTTATTCAGACAGTGCTGGTAGTACACTAACTAGGTCCATGAGCTTTTTTTGCTCCTTAATTCCCTGCCCAGGCTCAGGGCTAACAGCTTTGTTTTCAAATAATGAGTGTTTTACAGAACAATGGGAGGTGAAATTAAATCTTCTCTGCTAATCTAACCTGTCTGGTCTGTCTCCAGGTGGAGGATGCATTGTCTTACCTTGACCAGGTGAAGCTACAGTTTGGTAGTCAGCCACAGGTCTACAATGACTTCTTGGATATTATGAAGGAATTTAAATCTCAAAGGTAACAAACTGCATTTTGCTTCTTCCTTCCAGGTTAGAAAGAACGTGTGTGGACATGGGAGCACAGGGCAGGACCTGAATTCTGTCCTTTATATACAGAATAACACACCTGGACAATGATGTGAAAGCAGTTGTGTGCTTCATTTTCTGAAAATGCAATGCATCTCCCTTCGTTTATACTAAATCTCTGCTTAGAGTGGGAGTTCACAAGTTCAGCCTTGACAGCTGATTCATTTGGCTGTCTGGTTGTTCTGCCCATTAATAATGGTCAGACTTGGGACTGGATCTCGTGGATATAAAACACTGTCTGGGCTAATAAAATAATGCTAATGTCACCCTTGAGTTCAGCAGTGTGTTTATAGGACTCAGTTTTGCATTGTTTCATAGGCTAGAGGTGATGAGGGAAAAAAATCTAATGGAAGATTGCTGTGTGGAGAATCTTGTCCCACTGAAAGGTCCCGGGGGATGGTGACATTGTGATCTTATTCCTTCCCCAGCATCGACACTCCAGGGGTGATCAGCCGTGTGTCGCAGCTCTTCAAGGGCCACCCAGACTTGATCATGGGTTTCAACACCTTCCTGCCACCTGGCTACAAGATTGAGGTGCAGACCAATGACATGGTGAACGTGACAACCCCGGGGCAGGTTCACCAGATCCCCACGCACGGGCTGCAGCCCCAGCCGCAGCCGCAGCCGCCGCACCCGTCGCAGCCTTCGGCGCAGTCGACCCCGACACCAGCACAGCCAGCACCACAGCCCACACCTGCCAAAATCAGCAAGGTGAGAGAGAGGCTTTGGGTGACCTGCACTAAGAGCACAGGGACGCTGCTGCTTCCAGCTGAAGCTGGTGTGGAGCTAGAGTGTGAAAAATTAACTTCCATGCTGATTTTTCGTAGTATTTGTGAACCTTCATGTGTTCCCCTTCTGCTGCTGGATTAGTTTTTCTCATTTTCAAACTTGAAGATGCAGTCATAGTTAATTTGACAGCAATTCAAATAAGCTTTCCAAAACATAAAGGGTTTGGAAAAGCCTTGTTGCTGGCAGTGGGGAACTGAAAGACAGTCAGAGCATCTGGTAAATGGCACACACATTATTCAAGAAGTGATCCAGCAACCCTAGGGAAAAGGTTCCCAGTTAAAGCACTGGGCACACATTATCTGCCTGCTTTTGTGTATATTGTCTTAGACCTAAAGGCCCAAGAAATTGCCCATAAAACAGAGGTTGTGATGAAGATGTTCTTTTTGGTGTGAAAGTGTTTGTGTTGTTTCAAATGCTGGAGGCAATTAAGTCTTTAGGACACCTTCATTTGTTATTTGGTGGATTCTGCATTGCTTGAAGTCTTGTTTTCAGATTGAATGGTTTTTGTAGAGAGGTCTGGTTCAGCTGTCAGCTGGAAGGGTTCAGGAGTTATTAGCAACGACTGAAGTGCAAGAGTTTAGCAAGATGACCATGATGTTGCCCCTAGGTATTGGTGCGTGTGCCCAAAACAGAGACCTTTCAGTAACAAAGCAAATTTGTCTGTGATTTAGATATAACCCAGATGCTGCTATCCAAAAGATGTATTTTATGTGAAACAGAAGAGCATAATAGACGTTCAAGGAGATTACTCCAGATAAAATATTGTGTATTTTAGCCTCAAAATGCAAAAATATTTCAGAGCCTTAGAGAGGGAATCTCCACAGTTTCAAGGGTTAATCCCTAAACTGTTAGATACCTTTTCCTTTAGCTTTTCCGGGCAATTGCTAATATGCAGTTAAAAAGAAGCAGGATTTAAAATGCAGTGGTTAGCTGATCTCTGGATAAACATTGTTGGGACATGCAACTTCCTGCTCAGAAATGGCAAACAGAAACATGCTGAAAGATTTGCCAAACTGGAGACTGCAGATCATTCCAGAATGAATTTGCCTATGCCAGATTTCAAGGATTTTTTCTGAAGAAGTACATACTTTCAGTAAATTTGTAGCAGTCTCCTTTTTAACACCGTGGGATAATTGATTTTCTCCCTGTCAGCCTGCAAAACGTTGAGCTATCTTTGCTGAAACTTTAAAATGAACCTGAGGGACAGGCTAGACAGTGAGGTAAGATGTCCCTACCAGGCAGGTAAAGCAGCCAGCTGAGCAAGGACCTTGTAATAGGATATTTATGGCCATCCTAAGACAGTTATTTACATTCTCAGTCCTGAAAACTCTGTGTAATACAAGTTTTGAAATGTAAAAATGTGAGGGGATTAAGTACTTCCATTTCTATTTAAAATTGCCACCTCAAAACCAAATTTTCACCTGGCTGTTCGATGTCCATTGAGACTATTCAAAATAATTACTCACTGCCTGCATTTTGTCTCAAGAAACTCCAGTTTTCCCTTGCCATTGTCTATACATCCCACATTTTCTTCACTAGTACCAAAGTGACTTGCAGTGTTGGAGGCAGCCTACCTATGCACGTTGGCTCTGTTAAGTTTTTTGGGGTAGTTTGTGTCTCTTTGCTTCAGTCCAAAGCAATTAGCAAGGAATAATCTTAAAAACAGCCGCTTGAATTGCCCAGGCGTTTTGTCTCCTTGATGCAGTTTAATCTCTGCTGGCCCACTAAATATGTACCTATCCTTAAGTGGGTTAAAAGCGCATTTATCTCCAGCGTGGAGGGGTGTGCTGCTGGCTAACAGCAGGCTGTGTTGTCCCCAGCCATCGCAGTTGCAGGCTCATACTCCTGCCAGCCAGCAAACGCCGCCGATTCCGCCGTACGCGTCGCCGCGCTCGCCGCCCGTGCAGCCTCACACGCCCGTGACAATCTCTCTGGGCACCACACCATCCCTGCAGAACAATCAGCCCGTGGAGTTCAACCACGCCATCAACTATGTCAACAAGATCAAGAATCGGTTCCAGGGACAGCCAGACATCTACAAAGCCTTCCTGGAGATTCTCCATACGTATCAGGTGAGTGTTGGAAACGTGAGTTTGTGTCTGTGTGTGGTTATTTCTCTTGCTTTGCTTTGGAGGGGTGTCCAAAACCTGCATTTGGGTCGTCTTCTGTACTGGCAGTGGCCAGCAGATAATCATAGACTGGTTTGGATTGGAAGGGGCCTTAAAGTTCATCTAGTCCGACCCTTTGCCATGGCAGGGGCACCTTCCACTAGGTCAGGTTGCTCCAAGCCCCATCCAGGCTGGTCTTGAATTCTACTTGAACTAAGCAGAAGTCTGGCAAGTTAAAAAGATTACATAGCAGTATGAAGTAATAGATTTCAATTCATCATCTTTGTTTGGAAGTGTCTGAAATGCTTGTTTAAAAACTGGATTTAGTGTTTTTCTATGAGCACGTGCCAGGATGAGGCACTGTGGCCTTAGCTCTATGTTAAAAGCAAAGAAACCACTTCCTTGGTCAGTGTCTTACTGTCCCAGGGCCTGTTGGGTATTTAGGATGTGTTTATAGTAAATATAAGTATAGATATTTAGAATATGAGTCATGCTATTAATACAGTCTGATGCTTTACGTAAGGAGCTGAGACTTTTGCTGTTTCATTATTTCTATCACAGAAAGTTGGTTTTACTTTTTCTTTGCCACTTGAATAGTTTGTGCATCCTTTCTTCTGACGCTTCTCCTCTTTCCTCTGGCAGAAAGAGCAGCGTAATGCCAAGGAGGCAGGAGGGAACTACACACCAGCTCTGACAGAGCAGGAGGTCTATGCCCAGGTGGCTCGCCTCTTCAAGAACCAGGAGGATCTGCTCTCAGAATTTGGGCAATTCCTGCCTGATGCCAACAGCTCTGTGGTGAGTACCCTTGCAGATAGGATGAAATACCTAGTGCAGACTGTTCTCTATGAAGCCAGTGTCCAGAAAAATGTGCTGTTGCTTTCTTGGGGTGTAGGAAGGAGGTCAGGGGTGTAGACTGTATTTTCTGGCTATAACTTGTCTCTTAAATAACTTACATTTTAAATGCAATTGCTTTGCTTAAAGGGGTTGTTCTAAGATGATGTTGTAACTGAAGTAAAATCCATTTATCATCTAGAGCTAGGAGGAGCTGCAGACCCCACTGTACTGCTGCATCCAGCTTTGGGGTCCCCAGCACAGGAAGGACATGATTCTGTCAGAGCAAGTCCACCAAGATAATCAGAGGGATGAAGCACATCTCCTGTGAGGAAAGGCTGAGAGAATTAGGATTGTTCTGCCTGGAAAAGAGAAGGCTCAGGGATCACCTAATTGTGGCCTTCCAGTACCTGGAGAGAGACTCTACAAGGGCATGGAGTGACAGGACAAGGGGGAGTGATTTCAAACCGAAAGCGAGTAGGTTTAGATTAGATATTAAAAGAAAAATTCTTCCCTGTGAGGGTGGTGAGACTGCCACAGGCTACCCTGAGAAGCTGTGGCTGCCCCCATCCCTTGAGGTTTACAAGGGCAGGTCGAATGGAATTCTGAGCAACTTGTAATAGTGAGAGTTGTCCCTGACCATGGCATGACATTGGAACTGAATGGTCTTAAAGGTCCCGTCCAACCCAGACCATTCTGTGACATTTTCTCTGGAATGTAGCCCTAACGCTCTTATGGGTTTGTCTCTGACCAAGCTGTTAAGTAAGACAACTGCAGAGAAAGTGGAATCGGTCAGGAATGACCACGGGGGCACAGTGAAGAAGCCACAGCTCAACAACAAACAGCAGAGACCCAACCAGAATGGCTGCCAGATCCGACGGCACTCGGGCACTGGAGCAACCCCTCCAGTGAAGGTGAGAGCCTGTGCTGCTCCCTGTTTGTCCCAGAAGGCTGGGCAGAGCAGGATGTGTTTTCCAGGTGATTTTTGTGGCATGCTGCAGCTTGAGAACATGGAAGATAATGTTTGTCTTTAAACCTTTCAGAGGTTTCCAAGCACAAGGTTTTGCCTCTGTTTTTTTGCAAACCGGTGCTGGTATCTGTTCCTGAGGGTGGGACATAGTTACTGTAATGGCTTGGGGAAACAGTTTTCATCACTTTGTTAGACATATGTTGTTTTCTTAGCAGCGTTTAATGAGGGGGAGTTGTGGAGTGTGGAGACAAAAGTCTCAGTAATGCCACAGAACAAATTTGTCCGATATTTGTAGCAAAGGTTCCTAAGGCACGTAGGAGAAGAGGAGCTGCAAAGGTGTGCCTGAAAGCTTCGTTGTAGTAGAACTTGGAGCAGATGCAGTAGAATCATGTTTGCTCATCTTTCCTGTGATAAAGCTTTTAATACAATGATAAATGATTATTCTCTCAGCAGAGTTTGCCCTTTTCAAATGACGCACGATTTGTGAGAGCACAGAGGCTTTGTAGTGCAACAGAAATTGTCCTGTGGCCAGGTGGCTTCGTGTTTGTGCATGAAGGATAAATTTGCCTCCTTTTTTTGAAGCCAGTATATCTTTCCTTGTCATGAAAAGCATTAGCAGGCATAATTGTGCCATTTAAGTCCCCTTCTGCCCTTTCTGCTCCTCTTCAAATGGAGGGCACCAAAATAAAGCACGTTTTGGAGGCAACTTTCAGCCTTTCTGAGGATGGGGAAATAAAGCATCTTGCAGTAGAATGTAAGAGAGAAAAAAATTGTTGTTCTGGGGAGGTGTAAGACTTGCAGAGCTGGATGAGTGATAGGAAAATCATTTATTCTGGCAGTTTTCCACACTAGTTATCCAAGCAAGATACGCTGTGGTGTGATTGTTTCAATCAGCTAGTTACAGGAAAGAGTGCAACAATGTATTACAAATATTTGGAGTGGCATGCTACTTATTAACATTCAGTAAATTAACTTGTAGCACATGTTTTAATAGACTTTCCTTCCAAAAAGCCACCTTTCCTTTAATGGGAAGCACATGGTGGGCTCAGGGAGCTGGCGTTTGTGTGTGATAGATAATCAAATTGTCTCAGCTTTCTGAACACCTCTTTTATTTTTAATTACCTTTCTTTTTTTTAATAACAGAAGAAACCAAAGCTGCTTGGTTTGAAAGACCAGTCTTTGGCAGAAGCCAGCAAACATGGTGTGGGGACAGAATCTCTCTTCTTTGAGAAGGTGAGAGGCAGGATGCAGATGTTGCACGTCCTTGATGTATGTCCTTCCTT